TATATATATATATATATTTTTTTTTTTTTTTTCCTGAGCTCATCCTTGAGCCAGGAACTGACAGGTCATTGGTCAAGTGCCATTCCCTCATTGTGATCCTCTGTGACATTTCAGAGGAAGGAGACAGTGCCAGAAGTTGTGGTTCGAGTTTTGGCTGCTTCAGCTGCAACATCCACACACACAGATCTGTTTCCCTTAGAAACAAGATTGAGCCAGCAGTGTGGCTGACACACCCAGCTCAATGGTTAAGCAAGTCCTCTTTTAGAGAACTGTCCCAAATCTACTCAATTGCTAATGCAAAAGTTAACCAAAAAAAGCCTATAAACTTCTGAAGTTTTCTCTTTTATACTATGTTCTTGCCAAATATATAAATATAGGAAATGCTAAGATTTAAGAAAACTTGAATAATGCTTGAATAAAACACATTCATTGACTCAGAGTTGTGTTTTAAAGGAAACTGCGTTATTGACAACAGCAGTGAACCCGATGTGGAAGCTGCCACAGATCCATTCCTCTGTCCCTTTTTGGGATCTTCAGGCCCTGTGTATTTGAAGGGGAACATGTATGGCCCAGATCCTTTTGAAGCCTATCATACAGGTATGTGGCTTTCTTGCCCGAGATCTGTTCTGTTTCATAGAGAGACTTATGGAAGTGCTAACTGCATCTCTTTCTGATATGGCCCTCAAATTGAAAAAGGTTGCAGTGCTGACCCAAGAACAGCTTTAATGGATCACTACGAGCCCAGTTATGTAAAGAAAAAGGATTGCTACCCATGTTCTCATCCCACAGAAGAGTCCTGTGAGCAGAGCCTCAGTAACCTGGGGTGGCCTTCACATGTGAGGAAGCTCATGAACTCCAGTTACTCTCAAAATGAAGGACCTGCAATGAAAAATTTGTGTCTAAACAAGACCACTTCAGATTTTAGTACGAGTCCAGAGCCAGCATCATTTACTTCAAGTAGTTCTTTCATGGGTAAGTTTAGTAAGGTATTAGGTACCTTGTTTCCAGACCCATGCTGTAAGTTGCATGTGGAACAGCAATAAGAGCTTTGAACAGCAAACTGGTGAAAACAAGTTTTCTTAATGGCATTACCACGATGCCCAGTATAAAAGCCTATAAATGCACAGTCTGAGGTAGGGATTTTACTTGATTGTGTATTCAATCTATAATGGAGCCATGGGAGCCTTCTGGGTAACACCGTGTGTGGCATGGGGAAGACGAGCTCGGGGAATGACTTAGGAGCTGAGCTTGTCAGCCATGTGGAAAAAGTGGTTTTGGGCTCTAGCAGCATTTGGGGTGGAGTTGTGTGCTCTGCATGATTGTGGTTTAGTGTGTCTGGTGGCTTCTAACTGAACCCACGGCTAGAAGGGTGGAAAACAGCATCCTACCTAGCAACAGCTGCTTAGTCAGACAAGCAGGACTACCTTTGGAGCCTTAAAGCCCGGGCGAGTGGTGTTAGACACTGGCCGGCACCACGGTCGGATTGTGGACTTTTTGGTCTAGTGCATGAGAACAATGGGACAAAGCACTGAGATCCTCTTAACATTGAATGGAGCAAAATAAGGAAAATGAACCACAACCTGTCCTGGTGGGTTTTTTTATTTTTTGTTTTTTCTTTTTAATAAAAAGTAAAATTTTAAATTATTTTACCAAGCTTCTAAGATACCATTTTTTTGTCGCAATACGATCATTTATATTCCCCTTGAAAAAATGAAAATATGTTTTGCAGGGCTGGGGAAAGACTGAATCAATTGGGTATTATTTTGTTGCAGTTAAAGAAGAAAAGACATAGGATTATTTTGAAATAAACTTTCTGTATCCAGCCATAGTTAAATCGAATGTTATTATCCAGACTCACTTCATGGAGAATTATTCCAGAACTGGAAGGAGAAGTTGGAGAAGAGGAAGGGACATAAACTGGTGAACTTCAGGAACTTCCTAAAACAACAGCCATACTGGTGTAGGTCATGGAAGAGATAAAGGACGGATGTGTTTATTCAGTGGCTGTAAATAAGAGGGAGTGCAGATTCCTTTGTTGCATTCTATAATAGCACAAATCCATGTAGACCTGCGTACCATAATGGGGACTTGTAGGAAAAGCTTGGTCACGTTCATGGGATAAAATGCTTCTTCATTGGTACTGTACTTTGTTGATATGTATGCTAGCGAAAAGACCTGTGTGCTCAAAGTCTTTTTTTTTTTTTTTTTTCCTTTCAGGGACATTTGGAAAGCCTCTGAGAAGATCTCACTTAGAAGAAGCCTTTTCAAGCTTTGGACAGCTGGCAGATTGTCAGCTGAGAGCCTTTCCCTTAAAAACTCCTTCTTCCCCTGACTTGGACTCTGAGTCCGAAGATGAGAGAGCAAGGACAGACTTTCAGGAAGGAAATCACACATGTACCTATAAACAGACATTAGAAAACTACAGGACTCCAAATTTTCAGTCTTATGACTTGGATACATAGATTGAATGACACCAAAGAAACTTTAACATACTACCTCATGTGGACTTTTATTTAAAAGAGAAAGAATCCTATGTTTTTAAGTGGAGTTATGAATTTTAAAAGAATAAAATGCCTTATTTATACAGATGAACCAAAATTACAAAAAGCTATAAAAATTTTATACTGGGAATCATGTTCATATAAAAATACCTTTTATAACTTTTTTATTTTATAACTTTGTTTTATGCAAAAAATATCTTATGTAAATTAATGGTATAAATTCATGACTATTTTATGTATTTTTATAATACCAGATTTCTTTTTACTGAAAATAAGTACTAAAGCCTTTTAAATAATATTTGTCTTGTACCTTTTTTGAGTAGAGGTCACTTCATTTTATTTTGCACATTACATTTAATAAAATGTGTTATTTGGTTGGCAAGCCCCATTTATATAACAATAATTTTTATTGTTTTTCAATACACTTTAGACTTAGTTCATGTTATCACCTCTCAAATTGATGATCATATTTAACCCATTTAAAGTTCAAGTAAAAATGACTCTTCTGCCTGCCTCCCAGGATTCAAATCACATTTTGTGTGTGTGTGAAAGCATACTGTAAATGTAAAGGAGCAACAGAAATTTCAGGTACATTACTTTATTTCTAACTCTACAAACAGAAGACAGTTCTCTGCTATATTGTGGCGTACTATGACATAATAGTCATTGCTTCAATTACTGCTTAATCTATGTTTCCTTTTTCATGTTTTAGACATTTCCAAGTAGTTTCACATTCACCATTCTTTGGATTATAAAAGAGAGCAGTTTATTGTGCATTTCTATAGCTAAAAGGCTATAGAAGAGGTGAATTTTCATCCCTGTTCCAGGTCATAGTGAGAATTCCTTTCTGTTCTTGTTGATTTTCTGATGTATGAGTGGTTAATATATATAAATGGCATTTCTAAGCTGTTCTAATACATTCTTGAAGAATTAACAAAATATTTTCCTAATTTGGTCATCCTAGCTCCATTAGTTAAAAACCTAAGTTCTATTTAACCTATTACTTAAACACATAAAACCATTTAAAACATTTGTTTTAAACAATATTCGATGAAATTATTGTTACATGACAGGCCTATGTACACAGAGAAAACATCAAAGAATTTTCAAAATTAGGTAGCATTGTTCAGAATAAATGAGCTACACTTACTAAATTTAATAATTCAAGTTTAAAAACTAGATTTTTATGTTTGGTAAATCCTTGTGCATATGCATGGTTTAAAGAAAACCCTCTTGCCTGTGATAAATTAAGTTGGCATGAAAGGAGTTAATATAACACAACACTGTAAGCTTTAAAAACCCAAACTTGAAGGTGTGAGTTTGCTATTGTCAGTTCTTTGAACTAAATTGAATGCAACTATTGGAAAACAAGATTCTTCTCATAGGATAGTTGTGTAGTGAGTTTAGACCTTTGTTGTTTGTGAGCTAGGAGGCTGAACCCAGATTGTAAAGATTTTCTTCCCTTAATTCAGACACCATAGAGCAGAGCAGTTGGGTCCTTCTTAAGCCTTATGAACACAAAATTATTCTGTGTGCTTTGGCTTTATCATACTGCCAGGTTTTTGAAATCTTATTGTTAATTTGTCTTCATTACGGCCATATGTGATGCAGGCAACATTTGGGGCATTTGAATGATTATGCATTTCTTTTAAAGGTTTAATTTTTCCAGACTTCAGCTTTAAAGTTTAAATCAGTTCCTGAAATTTAAAAATTAGATTAATCAGTATGATCTTACCCTTTATTGTGTTTAGGTGTTGAGACCTAAGAACAGATGTCATGTTAGTTGTCTGGGAAAAGAAGAACTTGATTTCTCTCTGACATTTTCAGGAAAAGAAAATACGTGATGTTGAAACTTCATTCTGAACTAACATAATAGTAGGAATGAAGATACCCTAAAATAACATGAACTTAAGGGAAAAAGCAAACTGTAGGTAAAATGTTAAATCATTTGGTTTATTTATTTTATATTTGTGGTGTTGGGGGTTGAACCCACGGTCTTGTGCATGCTAAGCAAGTGCTTAAAACCTAAGCTGTACTTCCAGTCCCCTAATCACTTTATTTATTTATGATGAAGAACACTTAAAAGTTTCAGTTTAATTTTTCTACATTTCCTGATATAACACTGCTCGATATGCAACCAATCATCATAGATGATTGAACAATTTTTATTTTTTCTTAATTTCACAATTGACTTTATAGATAATTACTATGTATCATATTAGAGAAATATTCATTAATTGTGGCAACATTTTATAAAAATCTATTGAATACATATAATTTTCATAGCCTTCCTACCAAAGAAAACCAACAATTATTTCTCAGAACAGAGCCAGTCATAATGCTTTAAAAATATTGAGAGAAAAAAGGAAGGTAGTTTTGGCATCTGTCACACTTGAGGGGTTTTAGTCTTTTTGATAATGTGATAGAAGTAATTTATACTCAGTGTTAACAATAGATATACTACAGTGGTATTTTCCAAGAAGAATAAGAACCAAATGTTATTGCAAAATGCTCGATCTGTCCTTCCCACTTTTGGTATCTGTTGTCATTGGATTTATGTAAGAGGATAAATTAGAACTTACCATTTTTTAAGATTCTATTAACATATTGACTAACACAATGTACTGCCAAAAAAAAAAAAAACAAGAAACAAAAAACTATTAGTCTTCAAAGGAGGGATACAGTTTCATAAATTGAATAACTTCAACCTTGCAGAAATATCCAGTTACCAGACAGAACTTGGGTTTTTCATGAGACATTTCTTAAATAATACATAAGAGAGTACCATAACAGTCTTGAGAGATTTCAGGTTGGACCAAAAATGGCACAGATGTATTTTAGTTGGATTCTTTTTATTTGTTTGTTTTTGGGTTTTTTGTTTGTTTGCTTTTGTTTTTTGGGTTTTTGTTTTTTTTTTTTTTGGTGGTGGTGATACTGTGAATTGAACCCTGAGCCTTGGCACAGAGCTGCATACCTAGCTCTGTTATTATTAGTAGTATTTCTTTTCTAAATTTTGAAACAGGTCTTGCTAAATTGCCCACACTAGGCTTGAATTTATAATCCTGGCTTAGACTCCCAGAGTGCTGAGATTACAGGCCTACACCAACCTACTGGCTTAATAGAAGGTTTGTCTGCATATATTTAAGGAATTACCCCAATATTTAGGACTGTTTTTAAAAGAAATCTGGTGGTGGAATATCTTTTGATGAATGTGTTTGATTTCATACAATTTATCAATTTCATTATTACTGCAATACTTACACTATTGGATGTCAAGGATCAGAATTTTATATCTGAATTCCATATCCTCTCCTATGTTAGATATCTGTGAATGCAAGAAAACTTTAACAAATATTTTTGTGTAGTTTTTTATTAGAATTGTAGTTTTTAATTAATTTATAATACTACATTTTGAAGAATAAAAGCAATTCACAACTTTTACAATTTAATTCCTGGATTTCTTATACAGTTATTTTCTCTTTTCCATATATCTCTATTGGGTTTCATGGTTTAACAAATTTGACCTTTTTCTTCAGTCAGGTTTGAACACGAAACCTAGTATCTTCCTGAGTTTTGGGTTATTGCTTTAGTGTATTTATTTTTTGTGGTTCTGGGGATTGAACTCAGGCCCTCACACATGCTAGCCAAGTACTCCCCACTACTTCTTCAGCTCTGATGGTTGTTCCGAAAAGTCTACATGTGACTTTTTTTTTTAATCTATCTACAACTCACGAATTAAAATTTAGTTACCCTTTTGTTAAACATTTTTTATGTATTTAGTTGTGTATTTTGCCAGGTGATGTGAAAATGAGTAAAATTATTCTTGTCCTGATCGTGAGTGGGGCAGGAATCAGGTTTGTAATTAAACAACTGATGGTGGTGTGTGTTAAGTGCTGTAGTGTAGTGGGTCCTGTAACTGGCACTGATTTCCTATCTAAGATGTTTGCTTTCTAACTGAACTACCTGAAAAGTGTTACATGAACCTCACTCACTGTGTCCTGGACTAAACTATCTGGTTTGGCAGCTGCATCCCAAAACAGTTCCAGACCTGGCCCTCCCTTGTTTAGCCATCTACAATCATATTCCTATTGGTTTTGCGCCTGAGTTTTTTTAAGCCCGTTCACATCTTCTCACTTAACCTAGTGCTGCAGCTAAAGTTCAGACTCGTATCTGTCTCTGACATCAGCATCTTAACTGCTCTTCTTATCCCTTGTCTATTCAAATCATTGTCTTCACTGTTACCAGAAATGTTTTTCAAAAATAGATATGAATGGGTCACCTACCTATTTAAAAACCTTAATGGCTCCCATTAAATCCTTCTTTCAGTACATAAAATCTTTCACATGCTGATTCCAGTCCTCACTCAGCCCCACACCACTCCCAAATTTTCAGCCATGCAGTACACTTATATTGTCTCCATGCACAATGTCATTTCACAAACTAAATAGCCTTGTGCATGATATGATCCCAACTTTGCTTCAGCAAAACATTTAATGAGTGGCCACTCAGCTAGTTAATGTCTTACATTCTATAGCTATGATAGCACTGTTTAATATCCTTTCTTCAAGAAACTCTTAGATAGACAAGAAAACTAATGCCCTGAAATGTATCCCCCCACCATGTTTCAACCTGCAGAATGCCACTCCTCCTTCAAGGCCAAGACTGCTTTTATCCCAAGCACAACGGCTTTTCTTCCATTGAACTCTTATAAAATGGCCATGATAAAATCACAGGGAAGCAGATGGTTACAAAGACAGCTATGATATCGACTGACCTCAAAACTGTGAAAAAGGTTAACTTGTATGTCAGTAGGACAATGTCTAGAAGGAATGGACACTGCTGTGTGCTGGATGTTTGAACCCCAGTGTAGTTTGGTAAAAAGGTGATAGGGCATATACAATGTGATTGGGTTTTTGGGCATCATCCTGAGAATGGATTAAATAGTTCTTGTGGCACCCCAGTGAGATCCTCCAGAGTGAGCCTGTCCCCTTCCCAAATTCTACTTGCCATGTGATCTACCTCACACTTGTCCCTGACAGTGTGATGCCACTTGCCAAACTGTCCTCACCAGGTCCAACACAATGCTCTGGAACCCTTAGTTCCCAGTCTCAA